ACACACAATTAACTCACATAATAAAGATTTCTAGTCATAAACAATAACTCAAGCAACTGAAAAAAGTAGTCACTGGTGAAAACTCAGGAGATGGGGAAAGTTTCCAGCTCAAGTGACCACTCAAGTGATGGAGAAAATATCTTAATGACATATCACATCCAGTTGATAGAGGTACTGAGTTTCTAGTCACAAATAACTCAGGTGATGAAGATGGAAAATACTGCAGGGAGCACCGGACCATGGGGACCCAGAAACTCCCAGGCTTGTCCAGATCCTCTTTGGTTTGTTATCAGTGTCCTATCTAGGGTGAACAGATGTTTGTGCACATCTCCCCAGGAACAGTCACACAAAATACCTGCACAACACATACAGATAATGATACACACCTATGCACTAAACACATAAGACTGGGGTGGTGAGGGTAGGGGCAGGGGAGGAGGAGAGGGCTGTAGCAGATGAGATGACTGGGCTGGAGAACTCCCTCCTCCCTGCTTGTCCTGATTTGTAGGATGCTATCACCCTCTGGTGGTCTGAGGGAGAACTGTAAGATGCAAACTTCCAGAATGGACAGGAATTAAGTCTTATCTGGTGGACCCCCTTCTCCAGCTCTCTCATCCCCTGCCCTCACGGTCTGGACTCTGATGGCGTCTCCTACCCATACCTTCCTCCCCGTGTCCTTGCTCTCCTGTTTGGGTACCTTTCCATCTCACACCCTCATGGTCCCAGCCTCTTCCTCCTCAGTTCCCAGACCTAACATTTTTCCACCTGGACATATCAGGAACAGAAATGTGGTCTTTGCCTGTTCCAGCTCCAAATCCTGGAGTATAGAACAACCTTTCCCCACCCTTTCCTGACTTTGGTACCCTCAGATCCCACTCATTCCCTCAGGTTATGGGGACTTTCTGTCTATTGCATTTGCCCTCGTCAGTTGCTGTCCCTGTGCACGTGGTAGTGCTTGGATTGGGTACTGGCTGGGATAGGTTGGATAACCAGCCTGGAAAGTCCCCAGCACATTGCCAGGCCCAGCGTGGTGGTGTCTGAGACAAGGTAGGCCTGGTCTGAATTTGCTCTGGTCCAGGGCCAAGCATGGGTAAGCAGGTCCACCTCTGACCTGAAAGCCTCCCTGACATCCCTTTTCATGTCCCTCATCCTTGAGGCACTGTACACCTCTGCCTTGCCCTGACCTGGTAGCCACTTAAGCTCACTCTGGAACTGCCTGGAGATTCAAGGTTACATTTTACATGGAACCAGCCTTAAGGGTCACATGTCCTCCATAATTGACTTGGGTTGGGAAGTTATCATTTGCCACCCAACCGGTGACCACAGAAAACAGTAGGAAAGGAATAGATGTCTACTGAATCTCTGAGTCCCTGCAGGGTAGGGTGCATCACAGGGGCTGGGTGGAGTGGCACTCATCCCTGGGACCCTGTTAGGCCTCTGTTGGAACTAGTCCCCAGGGACCCAGGCCCACCCACCTTCTAGACCCCAGGGACCCAGAGCTACCATCCTGAATCCTGACAGCTGAGGAAGGAAGAGCAACCCAACCTCTGCTGGGCTGTCTTGGTCCTGAGGCGCTAACGTGGAATGGCTACCAAGGTTAGGATGCTTGGACCCCATCCTGCAAACTGCAGAATCAGCCAAGGAGGGTTAGATGAGTGAAGGCACAGAGGCTTGGGAAAAGAACTCAACTCCAAAGGCATCAATATCTTTAGACTACCCTGAGAACTTAAGTTACAGGAAGTGTAATGGGGTGAGGGTCTGACAGCAGAGGCTTTGCCAGAAGGCCCCAGAAAGAGAGGTGGCCCCTCCCCAGCTGCTCACCAGACTCAGTGCTAGTGCTGAGAAGAGGGACCAGCAAGGGCTTTCTGCATGGCCTGCTTGTGCTGGTCATCCTGACACAGCTGACATTTATCACATCATGGCCTCTCACCAAGGATTGACTGTTGGCAACTCTTTAAACAGCCAGACTGTAAACAGTTTAGCTTTGTGGCCCATCAGCTTGGCCTGTAGATTTAGTGTGGCCATGTGCACACTTACAAAATGAGGCTGTTTTGGAACTGCCAGGCATCCTGGGATGGTTCTTTACATAGGGTCTGCCTTATGAGCCAGATTTCGTTCAAAGGTCATTGTTTGCTGATCCAATCTCACCCAAGCCACAGAATGTTCCAACACCAGAAACTGAAATTCTTCCCACTTACGAGTGACCTATCTCACTTGAGAGGTCTGACAGCATTCTTTACAACCCCAAGGGAAGAATCATGAAGCATGGAGCCCGGGGCTGTGGACCACAAAGGCTAGTTTTTGTCAACTTGACACAAATTAATCACCTGGGAAGAGGAAACCCCAACTGAGGAATTTCCTCCACCAGATTAGCCTGTGTCCATGTCTGGGGGGCATTTTCTTGATTGCTCCAGGAGGACCCAGCCCACTGTGGGTATCACACACACACACACACACACACACACGGGGGGGGGGGGGGGGGCGGTAAAAAAATCTAATAAACATTTCAAAAGCAGCCAGAGAATGAAAGACACATCATATACAAAAGAAGGGGGTATAAAAATTATCAGAAATCACACAAAGCCAGAAGACAGCAGGGTGACATTTTTAAAGAACTGAAAGCAAAAACAAAACTAAACCAAAACAAAACCCCCAAACCCTCAAAACCCTAAATATCAATCTAGAGTGCTGTAGCCAGAAAAAACCTACATGGTCAGGAAATCTCCCTGCAGGAGGCCATAGAAACGACACTGGAGGAAAACACCAAGGAGATGGGGACCTGCGCACGATCTGAGTTGGTACAGAATCATTGTTTCCTTGAATGACTAACCTATATAAAAAATGAAATAAGGGGCGAAGCTCTAGGTATTTTGAAGGTTTTTTTTTTTCCAATTTGTATTTATTTTATTAATAGTGAAACTCTAGGGACTAGAGAGATGGCTCAGCACTGACTGTTTTGCCAGAGGACCCATGTTTGGTTCCTAGCACTCCCATGGTGGCTAACAACTGCCTGTAATTCCAGTTTCAGGGGCTCTGATGCCCTCTTCTGGTCTCCATGGGCATTGCACACATGTAGTACCCTTACATACATGCAGGCAAAACACTCATACACATAAAAATAAAAAGGGGCTGGAGAGATGGCTCAGCGGTTAAGAACACTGGCTGTTCGAACTTTCAGAAGACCTGGGTTTGAATCTCAGCACCCACATGGCAGCTAACAACTGTCCGTAACTCCAGTTTCAGGGGATCCAATGCCTCTTCTGTCCTCCGGGCATTGCGTTTTGAGGGTTTTTATGGTAAGCAGAAGTGAGAGGTTTGCAATGGTAGTGGTAGTGCAGAAGACAGGAGGGGAGACGAGACTGTAGCTACAGCGTCACACCAGGCAGGATGTGATAGGACTTGGAGGTAGACTGTGATGTCAGGGGCACATTCTGTAAATCCTTTATTAGAGCTGCTGTATCAGTCAGCTTTTGTTACTACAGAAAATACTTAACACAACCATCTTATACCAAAAAGTTTCACCCACCTCTGCCACTTATGGATGTTCTGTCCATGACCTACTGGTTCCTTGCTTTGGTCCTGTGTCAGCATACAATGGTGGAGGCAGAGCAAGGAGCAAACTGCTCTCCTCATGGCAGGGAAATGAGGAAGAAAGAGGAACAAACTGGGGTTCCACCACCTCCTTCACAGGCACACACCCTGTGCCCAAAGACCTCCTACTAAGCTGTAGCTCTTAAAGGTTCTACAGCTCTGGAAAGCAGCAGATGAATGGGAATGTCCCCCATAGGCTTCAGATATTTGGATATTTTGTCCCCAGTTGGTGGTGCTGTTTTGGGTCTTAGGAGGTGTGGCCATGCTGGAGGAAGCACATCACTAGGGGTTCTTTCTTCAGTCTTGTCTGCAATCCTGGATATTATTTCTTCTGCTTCTGCTTGATCTAGTCTATAAATGATGCTTTCAACTGCTTTTTACTTATTTTTTATTTCCAGTACTGTTTAACTGCCTTGCTCAGTGCCTCATCCAAGCTATTAACTTCTTGTCTAGGTCCTGAATTGATCTCCTTACTTCAATCCTGTGTTTTTAATCCTCTTGAGTTCTTTGGGTTCAGTTAAGCAGTCATGTTGCCTAATTGTTCCCTTGTTTCTAAGCTGCTATTTATACATCAGGAGACATATCTCTTCTGGCTGCAGACTCAGTACATGAAACACACATTGGTTCTTATCTACGTATGGACTGACATTCTGACAGGCAAGTCAAACAGCAGAAATAACACATCTAAACACTGTGGGGGCTACAAAGTTGGTCTTTGTAATCAAATATCCTAGGAGACTGTATCCTAACTTCAGAGTGGGTGTCCCTAGCAGAGAGCCCAGAGCCCCAACACTCTCAGCCAACAACTTCAGGGACCCCTGGTTATGGTTATGTCCAAGGGTGTCCTCAGTATCAATGCAACATGCTGCATATAATTTCCTTCCTATAGCAGGATTCTGACTCCAGGCCCATGTTTAATGCTAAAGGTGTATTTTACCTTGTTCTTGATGCTCCTGCCTTACCACTCCAAATGTCTTACTGCTGAACTATTCCTCAAAAGGATTTCAGAGCATAATGGCCTCCTTGGACCCCAAATTACCTCATCGAGTGGAAACGGGGCAGGCGTTAGGGTGGTGCTCATTCATAGAAAAGATTTTTTTTAAAAGAACTTGTGTGTGAAGACTAAGTCAAGCAGTGCCTGCTAGTCACCCATTGGGGTGAGGGTGGGGTGAGGGTCCCAGTCATTCTCAGTAAAAATTCACAGCATTTGAAACAGAAACTAGAATCAAAATAAGAAAATTCTGAAAACAAATTTAATATTTAAAAAACTCTATGACAAAGGCAACACTTCCTTTTAAAAGTGAGCTTCATATATAAAGCACTAATGCTAAAACTACTTTAGCACAAGATAAGGTAAGACATGATACTATGGAGTGCAACACTTATGGATGCATTCATTTTATAGTTGGCAAGTTGAAACATAGTAACATTACTGAACAAAGAAAACATTGGGCAGAAATTTCCATACTCTGCTTGCTTCATTTGACAAGAGGATGTGCACTGTTCCTATGAAAACACGTGGTCACTATCAAAGAACTCCTTACCTGGAATCTTTTCCTCAATTTACATCCATATGACCAGGTCTTCTCCTCCACTATAGCCTCCTGTGCTAACAGAAACAGACTCAGAGCAGTAAGTAACTGCTCCCTTCCAGCTTGAGCTTTCAATGCTCAGTCTTTCAATGCTGTGATCTACACTTATTTGTTATTGCTACTTTCTGTGATAGCCGTTTTGACCTCCCCTTGTTTTAAACAATTTAAACACCTTGCGAGGTACAATGCGGATATTTATACAGATCTTTACAGAGGCAAACAATTTAAACTGCCTTTTAAAACAGTGAAAAAGATAAGTGGTTTGCCTTTAAATATGCATTTTAAAATAACACAAATATAGCCTTCTTTTGACAAAGCTTGACCTGTCTGCCTTACAGATAGATATACATGGTTTAGAGGGATTTCTGTAGCGTAGTGTGAGGTTAGGTGGTGCCACCTACTAGCTGTCCATTGAAAACCACAGATGGGGATGCCTGGGATCAAACATAAGCTGAAAGCTTCTTTTTCTCCTCAAATTGTTTGTCTACTGCTCGAGACAAGGCCTGGAGGAAACCCTCGATGGTGACACTGGGAGCCTGGAAAGAAAAACAGTTATTACTTGGTGGACTCAGACACTTAGTGAGCTACCTGACAGGTACCACCTGTACATTTATAGAGTGGGGAAAGGCTCAGCTCTATGTGGGCTAAACAGGCCACCAGCAGGGCACCCAGATGTGGTTTGTAAACAAGAAGATATGATTCGCTGTTTCCTGCTGGTTACGAAAGGGTGCCACAGCAGTCACCCCCCAGCAAAGAAGAGAAACCGTTGAGAACAGATCATGGGTCCTCAAGGCTTGCCTCCTTGGAGTCCTTCCCAAACAGCTCACCCTAGGTCCTAGGGCTATGGGGCCCACTTCTGCTGCTTTATAATGGAGAATCACTATACAGTTTGGCATCAAGCTCTCTCCTCTATGTCAAGCACTCATACTTTGGGCCCCATTATGGCCACTTTTACACTGAAGATCACACCTAGCACAGCAGCTGCCACTGGCCAGGCAGTGCCAGATGATGGATTTAATTAATAGAACTGTTTGGCTTATGGGTTTATGCTGGGGCCTTCCCTGGGAAGGTGAGGGCATGACTCGTGGTCACTATTGTATGTGAGCTAATCTCAGGCTCAGGCTTGTAGAGCATAGGTGCATAGGTACAGAGGAGGCTAAGGTGGGCTCTGGATATAAGCTCCCAATGCAGCATGGTCAGAGAGTGCCTGTGAGCATTACACATGTTTATGTGTGCATGTATGAGCAGACACATAGCACATCCCTCTAAGTGGGCTGTGTTCACCTATGAGCAGACACAGGGCACAGCCACCTTTTCCCAAGTACGCACTGCCTATGACAGTGTCATCACCTTGAAAGAATCTAGAATCATCTGGGAGATAGGCCTCTAGGCATGTCTGTGGAGTACTATCTTGATTACACTCATTATGATGAGAGGACCTGCCCACTGTGGTGGTATCCCTGCTGGGATCTCAGAATGCATAATGGAGCAAGAGAACTGTGCAGTACCACAGTCAACATTCTCTGCTTCCTGATGTGGACCAGCTGCTTCAAGTTCTTACTGCTTTGACCTCCTTACCATGAACTGTGAGCCAGAATAAACTCTTTTTCCCTTAAGTTGCTTTTTTGTTAAGAGTATTTTATCACAGCAACCGGAAAAGAAACCAAGACAGATCCTGTCCCAGGATCGTGTGAACACAGTGGGTAAGGGAGCCGGGCACCCAGTATATAGGATGTCCACAGGAGACTCACCTGGATGTAGAGCGCGTGAGCCAGGAAAGGGAGTTTCCTCAGGACTCGGCCACTGAGGCCTTCACTCTTCCTGTATGAAAATAACCACATTTATGGATATCAACTGCATTCATAAGTATGCACATATCAGGACTAACTTCCTTCATTGTGGTGAACCTGAGCCGAGGCTAGTCAAAGCATCCCCAAAAGCACAAATCCCTGTGTGACCCTGGGCACAGCACTGGTCTCACAGAGTGCTGTCCTTTGTCTTTCCTCACATGGTCTGCCATCCTTGGTTCCTGTTTTAGGTAGGACTCTAGGACCAAGTGCTCCATGGGAGCATCAGGTGTGAGGCATAATGCTACAGGCACACAGTCACCAATAGTCCTCAACAACCAGGCCTCTATGCCTTTAATTTTTACAGAAATCTCTGAACTGTTTTCTTTATCATAATCAATTTGGTCTCTTTAACAGATAATCAAAATCTCTAACAACACTGAATTCTTCATGTTCTCCTTTTGATCAAAATCTTCCACATGCTTCATGGCTAAGAACAAAATACAAACTCTGGCCAGAAACTGAGGTTCATTCCAGCATGGCCCGTCTGCCGCCCCCCCCCCCCAACCACCACAGTGGTCTGTGCAAGCACCCTATGAATATGCCTGCTAACACATTGCCAAGCAGCCCCCCTATGTCTCCAGTATTATATCTATATTGTCTTTTTTTTTAATTAAAAAATATTTTATTATTTTTATTTTATGTGTATTGAGTGTATTGCCTGAATGTTTAAGTGCACCTGTACTGTGCAATGCCCACAGAGGTCAGAAGAGGGTATTGGATTCCCTGGAACTGGAGTTATGGACGGTTGTTAGCCACATGTGGGTGTTGGAAACCAAACCCAGGTCCTCTGCAAGAACAGCAGTGCTCTTAATCACTGAGCCATCTCTCCAGCCCCCATAGTCTATCTTTGGAGGTGGTGCATTAGCCTCCTACCTGCCCTTCACCCTCCCTAAATCACTAAAATTATTTCCCTTCTCACTTCCCTTCTATGAGTTGCAGGTTCCTGTTGCCCCTGTTAGCAACTCTCAGTGTGTACCTGCTATGTGTTCAAGACGAGGTGGCTATGTATCTGCACACAAAGAAACACATGTGTACACACATGCCTGCTTCTACAAGTGCCCTGAGGACTTGCCTCCAGAGCCCTTTCTGGCCTCCCAAAGAAATCACACTACCTAGCTACTTTAGCAAGCGGATTTTTCTTGGGTAAAAAAGTGAGGTGAATCTGCACCTTGAAATTTCACTCAAAAGGAGGCTCAACTTGGACACGTTGTTTTCAATGAAGCCAATCATCTCCAGTTCTCGGAGGGTCAGCAGCTGCTGGCGAGGGTATATGATTTGGCACTGGGGGACAGAGGCAGAGTGGTCAGAACAGAGTGCACATAAGCAAGGTACTGTGCACAAAGGAATAGCACTTCCAGGGCAAACAGTGTCATGTCCTATAAGTCCAAAAGAGTAACTCCAATGCACAGGCTATGAGACAGCACCACACATTCCCAAATTTCTTCCCAACATACACATCTGTGTTTCTTCAAAAATCAGAATGCAAATAAAACATGGCTCAGAAACCAGTAGCAACCCAGATGCTGAGTTTTCACCCAAGATATTTCCTGGCTACCCATTAAGGCTGGGGGAAGAAGCAGGGAAATGGGTGATGTTGGGCTGTTGTTGCTTCAGTTTCAGAGGTGTGTCAAACCCACAGGTGCAGAACTGGAACTCAGAGCCAGGACCATAACTGCCTTTAAAAGAAGAGTCCTGGTTTGCTTTTCAGACCTAATTAGTTTAGCAGAATGACACAGACAGCACAGTAAGTCCCAAAAGTCCCCCTGCATAGATCACTTGCCTGGAAGTCAGAGGCTCCTTGTCAAGGTTGCACACTGAGCTACCAGACAACACTGACTGCTTCCATTCCTTTTCATATCTGGAGGGTTAGTGAGGGTTGTAAATAAAATTAAGAAGCAAGGTCTGTGTTTGGAACCCTTACCTTTCTGCACAAGGATTCTCCTTCAGGTCCCTACAGCCAGTGAAATTCACACTGGCAGGCACACGTCACAGAGCCCAGACTGCAGGCTCCTCACAGAGTGAAACACAGTTACACAGCAACTGCTTTTCACTGCAGTGTCTGAATATCTTGACGTTTGTGTGTGTGCGGTGTGTGTGTGTGTGTGTGCATAAGTACATGTATGATCACATGTGAACATGTGGGTGCAGAGGCCAGAGACTGATGTTGGATGTCTTCCTCAACAGCTTTCCATCTTATATACCGAGGCAGGATCTCTCACTTGAACCCAGAGCTCACAGATTTAACTAGTCTAACTAATCAACTTGCTCTGGGGATCTTCTACCTCCACTTCCTGACTGCTAGGATTACAGGTGGGTCACCACACCCACCTAGCGTATACATGGGTTCTGGGGATCTGAATTTGGTTTAGATGCTCAAGTTCTCTTGTGCTTGGGCAGCAAGCACTTTACCCACTAAGCCATCTCCCTAGCCTTATCTTAATTTTTCATAAAATGACCAAATTAAGAAACTGGCCTATATCAGGCACGATAGTACTCACTTTTAATCCCAGCACTCAGGATGCAGAGGCAGGCAGATCTCTGTGAGACTGAGGCCAGCCTGCTCTACACAGTGAGTCCAGTCCAGGCTAGCTGGGGCTACAGGGAGACCTTGTTTCAAAAACAAAACAAACCAAACTGGCCTACATTCTCAGTTCCCAAGAATCTGTACTTCTAAGTTAAACCTCAGAACATTCCAGATTCATGGTATAAATGACAAATGTCCCACTGTGAGGGCAGAGGACTATATCAAAAGTATCTGATCACTAATATATCCAGTTTCCTCAATGGACCTGCCTCATGCTGGGCTCTTGGGTAGCAAAGCTGCATATCAAGTGCATTTGAGTCACAGCTCCACAGGCCCCACCCTTCACCCAGCTACAGGAGCCAGGATAGGATGTCCACACCAGAACAATGCTGACTTTAGCATCCTCAGTAGGCACCTGGCTGAACCAGCTCCCCATTCCTCCCAAAGGAGGCCATGCCACCCTTGGTGGAGATAGTGAAGCCTTCTATCCTATGGTGTTGGCAGTAGCTGCAGGATGTGAGGACAAGTCCACTCTCCTGCCTGGTGGCAATGACTCCACAGTAATCACTGCAAATCCCTACCTGCTGGTTTGCTTGGCCTAGGCTCCCTAAATTCCACACTCAAAGTGTGCTCTTACAGCATGGGATGTCAGATGCAGGTCTGGAAACCACAGTTCTATGAACTATGACCTTCAGTGAGATGATACCCTGAACATATGACCTTCAGTCAGAGTAACCTGTGAAACAAGCCTTCTATTGTCCTTTTTCGATGCCAGTTGGCTTGTTACTTTTATAGTCTACGGCAGGCTCAGAGCCAGGATGTGCCTAAGAGGCTGCTTGCAGCCTACTCACTAACCTCTTACACACTGGTACCTCAAATACTGAAAAGTGGTAATCATATTGTGTCAAAGAATAGAGCATTTTAAGAACAAGGTATAATGACATGTATAAAAGTGCTACAGAAAAAATCATTATTTTATAGACTAAAAAAGTTTTTACACAGGCATGTACACACACACACACACACACACACACACACACACACACACACACCCGAGTTACATATAATTTAGATTATTAGCTCAACCTAACATAACTACAATTTTCAATGCATGATGCCTATTTTACCATAGGCATCTTATTGGAACTAGCTTATAATAACCCATGCCAATTAATGATTAATATGTAAAAGTCCTGTGATGGTTAGGAGCTAAAATAAATAAAGGTACCTTCATCAGTTCTTCTACACAAGAAAGGTAGATTTTGAAGATGGCTGCTGCAGAAGGGGGCCCGATGTACTGCTTGATATCAGCTCTGTCCACGAAGGCCACATCGATCTTCTCAGTGATGTTGGAAGTGGTCAGAATCACCACATTGGAATGCCTGTCGTAGCCACAGGAAAGGATCAGTTACAAACTCCCTTAAAGATTCAGTTCTGTTCTGCCCTACTTGACGGGGGCATGGGCAGGAGAAACAGGCCTGTAAGTGGAAGGGCTCAGCCAGTTTTGTTCTGGTGGCTGTGCTGTGCCAGAGCCATGTTCTAACACAGCTAGCATAGCTTCTCTAAGTGCTCTGATCTTTAGTTGGGGGTCTTCTGGCTCACAGCAGAACCTCCCAAGGCCTTTGCTTCTGGAAAGCTGAGGTTTACCCTATTTGACTTGTTGCCTCACCTACTTCAGTCTCAGAGAAGATCTCTTTGTGCATTATCCTTGACCATCCTACCTACTTAGTAGCTCTTGGTATCCAGTATTCCCTCTGGCCAAGGCACGGCCTTACAACTGCTTATCACACAGACGCCTGTGGAATGGAGCTGAACTATTAATCAAGTTAATCATCTACGTCCCCTTTGGCCTCTAAACTCCAGAGAAAATCATAACCATCTGGTCTGTTTATAGTTGTCCCTCAAAAGCCCAACACAAGCTAGCAATTGAGCACAAGGTCTCTAAGGGAGCATGATTTCCAGGACTGGTACAGTCTGAGTGCAGAAGAGACTACAGTGCCTTCCTGAGCATATAGTGTAACAGACAGCTCTGCAAGAGAGGATCCTGGAGGCAGCTTCAGCTAAGATTCAAGTAGAACAGACAGCTTTATGTAACTAAGCAGCAATGAGCCAAGCAAAGGGTCAAGAGGGACAGATGGGCCCCAGGTGCCCAGTGCAGGTGATAAGGTATAGAAGTCGTATGAGTTGCCCAGGCTAGAATCATAACCCAAAGGTTTACGCTGGTGAAGCCAAGGAGGAACAGCAGCCAAGTGCACATGAAAAGAGATATGGATAGAGCTGGTGGGTATGAGCAGTCAACAGAGAGCAGAGCCTGAGGTAATATCAGCCCTGAGTATAATGAAGAAGACAAAAGGGACACCATCGACAGAGTGTGGGCTCCTTCTGAGGCCACACTCTGTTGCGACTGATGAAAGGGATGATTATTTCTTCGATAGTGGGTGTAGGGAGCCAACCACACAAGGAGGTACTATAGACAGGCAGGTGAGAGGCCCAGCAGTGTAACGGGACCTTGGGAAGGAGGCTAAGGAGTCCATTAGTATGATAGAGATCCTGAGGAGGGGGTAAGGAATCAACTGGGCAACAGAGGACCTAGGAAGGAGTAGTATGTGGCTTAGTGAGCAGCTAAAGTATGTTTGTCTTGATGTCTGGTCTACAATGGGGACTTGGCTACACACAACTAGGAGTGATGCTGGAAAAGAGTAGTAAGCACTTCAGACAGGCTGTGGAGGGCACTTGCCCTGGAGACTGCAGGGAGACACTGGCAGCAGAAGTCAAGGTGAGGGAACTACCGTCTAACAGCAAGCTATGTGACCAGCATGCTTCTCCACCACTTCTCACTACCAATCTAAATGTTACCTTTTAATCTGATCGATTTGGGTCAAGACAGCGTTGACCACCCGGATGGCATCTGATGGTTCTGTGCCTGCCCTGCAAGCATTTCGAGCAGCTGTAAGACTCTCTACCTGTAAAGACAGAGCAAAAGGTTAAAAACGTGACTGGTACTTCCTGGGCAGCTGTCAGGTATATCAACTGACTGAATGAAAAGACTGGGTACACATGTGGCTGCTGGCTCCCCAAAGTTCAATGCATGCATGGAGTGTCAGGAAAGGATCCACAGGACAGAGCACGATACACAGCAGCCCAAGTGTGGGGCAGCAGGCAGGATGCCAACAGCAGTAGCAAAAAGCAATTCAGGCACAAACTGGCTACCTGAGTGCCTTACCTCATCAATCAGCACAAATACCAGAGCTTCTTTATCATCAATCAACTCCTGGATCTTCTGGAACATCCTAGTTACTAACTTGCCACTCTGAAACCAAACCATTCTTATTAGTAGTGTTAACTTGTGGTCAACTACTATAGAAGCATAAGCACCACCATGTCCCACCTCTCCTCATGGGTGCTCAGCACACTCCCTGCACCAGAGGAACCAGGTTGGCATTTGAGGTCAGTCCAAACAGTCTTCCTTGCTACTGCACTACAGTAAATGGAAACCTGAGCCTGCCATCTGCTGTTGTTCAGGGTGACACAGTGTAGGTGACCCCAATAATGGTCATGATGTATGTGAACTTACTCCCCTGGGAACATGACAAATCACAAATGACAACATGGAACTAAAGAAGGCAAATTTCTTATACGCACTCTGTCCCTAATTGCTTGTGTCCTGCCTCGACACCCACCACAGGGACATACTAGCATGGGATGCCTTGGGCACACAGGTTTTCAGAGGCTAGGAGCCCCCACAATGTATTGAGGGACTCCCTAGTTCAGATATGGAGTGCCTGAGCCTGGGAGCTATTTGGCTAAAGAGTGTAGCCTACATGAACTCACAAGATTTGGTAGTTGCTGAGCACCTAGAGGAGGTCCTGCATACCTAGTCAGAGGTCTGGGATATTACCTTGGAGGGTGTCTCCAGCTCAGCCTGCCTCCAAGTCCTCTATCTCTGGACCAGTCAGGTACACTATTTACTTTCTCATTTTACTTACTACTCCCCAGAAGCTTTTGTGTTTGTAGTATCTGACCAATACATAAGACATTGTTTTCCAACTACATCTGACAGTCTCAACAATGAAAACATTTAATACTTACCTCTGAAAACCACTTAGAAAATAGGCTGTGGCTGTTTATTTCAATCAATTGGCCATACCGGTACCTAAGATAATAAGAGAGATAAGACCAATAAATTAACCCTATGACGGTCATCGCCTAATACAGCATCCCTTCAGTACCCACAAAATAGGAATTACTGGCCCTCCACCTCCAAGACATGCAGCTCTGTGTACTAAATAATTATGAAAATAACCTAATAAGATGCAATTAACAGGTTCAGATGATAGTAAAGTGAATTTTTCCATATCTTCACTTGAATTAAACAGTAAAAATTCTCATTTTAATCTGTTTATAATGTATATTTCCAATATAGTAAACAAAACAAATTAGAAGCAGCAAGAGATCTGGGTAGGACTATGCATTTTCTTCCTCCACAACTCCAAGTGTGACAATTTTTTTTCCTATAGATTCAAGTCCTGGAGTGCTGACCAGAGGTCTAGAATGGCAGTGTGTACCATTCAGGAGGCAGTGGGAGGCAGCACAGTCTGACTAAGCAAAGAGCTCTCTTATGCCGTAAGTCCATAGAATTCTTTGCTTTTAAAAAGCATTACTGGCATTCCATTTGAAAACACCAATTACTTTTACCACTTACAAAAGGGTGGAGGGTTGCTGTGTTAAAGATAACATAATGAGTAAAGACTGGGTTGAACATTTGTGGTGGTTTGAAAAAGAATGTCCCCCATAGGTTCCAAGTATTTGGACATTTTGTCCCCAGTTGGTGGCTCTGTTTGGGAGGCTTTAAGAAGTGCAGGCTTGCTGGAGGCAGTGGGTCACTGGGGATGGCTTTGAGAGTTCTTAAACCCAGAGGGCTTTCCAGTCACTCTCGGCTTCCTGTGCTTGCTTGGAAATGTAACTGATTAGCTTTCTGCTCTGGCTAACATGCCTCCCCCCACTGACCCTCTAATCCTCTGAACTGTACGCTCAAATAAACTCTTCCTTCTACAAGTTGCTTTGGTCAGTGTTTTTAATCACAGCAACAGAAAATAACTAATACAGAAGAAACTGACACCAGAAGTAAGGTTTTGCTCTGAAGAACCTGACCATGTGGATTTTGGGAGGAATGTGGATGACTTTGGAAGGTTTAGACTACAAAAGCTGTTGAATGGGGCTATAAGCAGAGCTTAATAGGGCATTCTAGTAGGAACCTGGAAGAAAGTAGTGCTGAGAACAATGTAGTTCCAGAGGGAAATTAAGGACTTAAGAGTTTGGATTGAAAAAGTGCACTTGGAAGATTATCACTGGAGCCAAATCATGTGCTGAAGAAAAGGTTCTCTCTGGAAAGATGAGAGCCATGGAGAGAGTCCTAGAGATTTATACTGGAATGGAAGGCATACCCTCAGGGCAAGACTAGACCCAGCTAAGCCTCTAACTAGTGAAAGAAATATGCCTGAGGGTTTTCTGCTCCTTGAAAACCACAGCATATAAAAGCTGCTGAAGTGGATGAAGCAGGCCAGGATCCATCCCAGGGCAGCAGCTGAACCTGGCAGTATTGTTCAGGTTCATGTGGTGCTGGCTTTAGAGGCATTAAAGATGAAAGAGTGAAAGAGTCATCAACTCTTTCTCTGTGGTTTCAGAGAATGAAGAAGGACCTAACCGGCCATTGCATAATGCTGTGAAAGTGAAGCCTGGTTGGCAGTGGAGACCCCAAGATGCTGGAGATGCTAGAGCCATGAAACATCTGCCAAGGAGAGCTGCACACTACTCACAAGGAAGTGGTACCAGCCCAAGAGAGAGATGTATGTTGCATGCAGGAAAGCTGGAGGGGCTGAGCCATCCAAGTCCTTTGGCAGTAAAGTCCCAGAAGTTGGATATGGAGATGGGTATGGACTTGGTGTTTGCCCTGCTGGTTTTCAGTCTTGTTTTAGTCCAGTATGCCCTCAGTATTCCCTTTTGGAGTGGGAATGTGTGTTCTAGTCAGTTCCATTATATGTTGGAAGTATGTAATTTGTCTTTTGACGTTAGAGGGGCTTAGAGTTAAGAGACTGCCTTAAGACTCAGAAGAAGACTTTGGACTCTGGACTTTGAATAGTATTGAGAGACTGGTAAAGACTATGGGGAATTTTGAAGGTAGATTAAATGCATTTTGAATTTTATGTGGTCATGAGTCTGGGAGGGCCAGGGACTAGAATGTGGAAGTTTGAATGAGAATGTCCTCATAGGCTCTAAGTATTTGGATATTTTGTCCCCAGCTGGTGACACTGCTTTGATAGGCTTTAGGAGGTGTGGTTTTACAGGAGGAAGCAGGTCACTGGGGGTGGCTTTGAGAGTTCTTAAGCCTTGTGGGATTTCTAGCTACTCTCTGGTTTCTGTGCCTACTTGAAGATGTGATTGCTTGGCTTTCTGCTCTGGCCACCTGTCCTCATGTCTCCTCTACCCACCTACCCCCATTATGGACACTAACCCTCTGAACTATAAGCTCAAATAAGCTCTTCCTCCTATAAGTTGCCTTACTCATGGTGTTTTATCACAGCAACAGAAAAATAACTAATATAACATTAAGTAAAATTATAAAACATTGAGAATTTAATAGACTAAGGAACAAAGAATTCCCAAGGATTCTTTTTTGCCATTTCTAAGTCGCAAGATAAAAACAATTTTCTACATTTTTGTAAGTGAAAGTTAGATTTCTTTTTGCTTCTCTGGTGTCTTGGGAAACCACCTCTGTAAAACTTTAAAACAAAAAAGCATTTAAATCTGTCAGAAAAGCGTCAAGTTGTTAAACATGAATGGCCAAAATAAAGTACTCTCTGTATGTAAAAATACTTATAAAGTATCTCTCAACCTACAATAGTGAATCTCACGGGAATCCTTCATCTTGCAGTAGCAGAAGCCAAACTTACCATCTTAGGCAATGAGAAAATTAGACAAGATCAACAAAGGGACAATTATAACCCAAGAGAACCTTCATAGAACTAAGAAAACTAAGGTTGGTGTTCAGGGACTGGGACGTGGCTGCAGGCTACAGGGCAGAGTTGCACAGGGTGAAAGAGAAATGTAGATCCCAGAGCCAACCCGGGACTCTGTGTCTCCAATGAATACTAAAGCATGAAGAGTCCATGAGGCTGGGAAGAGGGTGTACATTAGTGAGCTACAGCCCTGCAGCTCACAGAGGCTAGAAGAAGCCAAGCTCCCACAGTCCACGTGGAGAGCATGGATCTGTCCTCCAGGTGCTCAGCAGAGACCCTAGGTAGAGCACACACCAGACTGAAGGCAAGACTAAACTGAACTCCCTCTCCAGAAAGCTAGAAACAAACCTTAGAAGGACCATACTAGGCTACAAGTAACTGAAATGCCTATCAGAAGCAAGTCACCCGAGTTACAAGATGTGGAAATCCAGATACTGAAAAAAGCACAGGACACACTGACCACAGGCAGAGAAGTGGAATGCTAGCACTCAGCTGGTTTTTTCCCTTTTCCTTTTACTCAGTTTAGGATGCTCAGCCACATTTAGAGTAGGTTTTCCTTCTCAGTTAAACCTCTCTAGAAACTCCCTCAAAAGACTAAGAATTATGTCTTCTAAGCAACTCCAAATCCATTCCGGTTGACAATTAAGACAAATCATCACACATGCCAGGTAGGGCAATCATGTGACCCACAACCAGAAGAAAAGACAGTTAACAGAAATAATGATGCAAGTGATAGGCAAGAACATCAAAATAGGAGAGATGGCTCAGCGGTTAAGAGCACTGGCTGCTCTTCCAGAGGACCCAGGTTCAATTCCCAGCACCCACATGGCAGCTAACAACCATCCATAACTCCAGTTCAAGGGGATCAAACACCACTTTCTGGCCTCTGTGGGCACTGCACGCATGTGGTGCAGTTAACATACATGCAGGCAAACCACTCATACACATAATAATATATAATATAGGTATTAAAAAATAAAGTATTAAAAAGAACATCAAAATAGTGGTATAAATCTGTTCAGGACTTCAAAAAGACTATACAGAGGAAGTAGCTCAAAAAGAACCAAATGGAATCTTCAGAGAAGAAAAATATTCTGTAATTAAAAAAAAAAGAATTACTGAATGTAATAGCAGATTAGACACTGCTGAAAACTACTGTACTACAGGATGTAGCAAAAGAAACTAAACATTTTTATAAAGTTGGAAAAAAAAAAAAAAAGACAAAGCACATGGTGCCTAACATGCTGAGGAACAGATTCCCAGGTAATTAATAACCACCATATATTCCCTAAATGTAAAGAGAAACCTGAATCCCCAAACAGAACTCAAGAAGAAACAGACAAATCCACAGGGACATCAATGTTCTTCTTCCAGTAATGATAAAACCCATGGCCAGAAAACACTGAACACCCAGTGAGCACTGAAACAGCTGAGCACCCAGACCTGCCACCCATGGCAGAAACACCTATCTTTAAGTGCACAGGAGATGTATACCAGGACAGGAACAGGATGTTAAGCTCAGTCCATTTTGTAAGAATGAATCAAACTCGAGACCACGTTAGGTATAGAGGAATGAACTGACCTATGCCCAAGAAGAGGAATCTATGCATCATGAAACTAAAACAGCTTCAAATATCACAAGTTCTATTCCTGCCATTCTCCTCTCTGAGGTCACCAAGGTTACCTGCTTGACAGTCTGATGGTTAGTTTCTGGGCTAATGCCTTACAAAGGGATGTTTTTCCAGTTCCTGGAGGACCTGTAACAACAGCCAAGGAAATATATTCAAGTCAATACTATAACATGTCTTTAAATCATAGTTAAGTGCTATTTCTATTACTACTACACGTTTTGCTTGCTCACTTATAGTGCAAAAGCTCTGAAATACTAATACCTCTTTTTCACTAATTTGGACTCTATTTGCATTTCTGGTCCCAACCCAGCATGTGGCTTCCTGGTCCCCAGCTCCTCTCAGCATGCTAAATGTGTACTATACTTCTGGTCTACATCTTGGTGTTGCCAGCCTCGACATTTCCTCTATGAAGTCAATTCATAGGGCAATTTTCAAAGACCAAGCACACCTTTCTCAGTAAATGGAGGTAGAGAGCCATCATCAGGACAACTGCACTGCTGCCTCTCGCTACAGATAATTTCTTAAGAATAGAGCCAGTCCTATTTTTGGCTACTAGGTAAGTGACTGCTCTGTCATGTATTCTCACCATGCTGTGCTGTCTCACTACAGGCCCCAAACATCAAGGCCAATTAATCATGGACTGAACTTTTAACACTGTGAGTCAACATAAACCTCTTTATGAGCTGATGAGCCGATGACCACAACTGCTTGCTACAGCAACAGAAAGCTGACTGACAGTGGCTGAGGCAAGGGCTCTTCGTGAATATTCCTTCCCTGAGTCCCTAAGCAGGGCCCTGCTTAGAAACTGTGATGGGACTTAATGAGAAAGATCAAAAGCATCAACAGAACACACAGACATGTGCACTTGACGTTCTCTAGGCATTTTCAAATAAGAAGATAAGGAACACATCTAATTCCAAACAGATAATTCACTAGTTAAAATACCTATTGACTATTTGTCTGATTCTGCTACTATGACAGTATGCTGGGGATTAAAAGACACTTTTTTAATGATCATGGACAATCACATAATCTAACTGGCATTAAGAGGCCAATTACCCTGAACTTCTCCTTTGCTGTAATGTGGGTTCTCTATTTACTCCATTGCTATGCAGTGAAACTGGGGATGGGGGAGGCAGAAGGGGAAGGGAAAAAACCCAAATCACCCTTTTCTTCTAAGAAGGACCCAACAGAGTTTCTTTAAAAACATGGGTTCTGCAGTCTATTCTCACTAAGTGAGGCTAAGACAACCACAAAGAAATGAGACTGGTTCTATCATAAGAAATTATGTTCAGTTGGAGAAATAAGGCAATTATTTAATATAAAAAAGGTCAAAAGGAAGAAAACCATTTGCCACCAAGGAAAAGTCATCTAATAAATGCCTGACTTTAGTGAATTGGATCAGCCAAACAGAAAAGGAATATCCAAGGATAATTCTGACTGTCAAAAATAAAGAGCTATAACTTTGTAGAAGGTACAGGTGTAACTTAAGAGTCAATCCCAGGCCATTCATCTTGTCACATGAAAACCCACCAGACTCACCATGCAGCAGGACCACTCGGTTCCAGGTGATGAGGGTGCTGTCCACATTCCTGTCTGAGAACAGTAAGGTAGTTGTCACATAATCAAGGAGCTGATATGGAAAAGCAAAAGGCAGGTAAGGTATCTGCGCTGGTTAGTTTTTGTCAACTTGACACAAACTAGAGTCACTTGGGAAAAGGGAACCACCCCTGAGGATTTCCTTCATCAGATTGGCCTTTGGCCATGTCTATGAGGCATTTTTTAAATTGCTATTTGATATGTGAGTACCCAACCCACTGTGGGAAACGTCATCTCTAGACAGGTAGGGCCTGGGCTGTATAAAAAAGTAGGTGAGCAAGACAGGGAAACAAGCCAGTAAGCAGCATTCCTCCATGGTCTCTGCTTCAGTCCTGCCTTAGTTTCCCTTAGTGACGGACTGTGACAGAGAAGTATATGCCAAATGAGCCCCTTTCTCCCAAGTTACTTTTAAAAGGTCATGGTATTTATCACAGCAACAGAGAAACCAAACGAACAGCACCGAAGGCAAAGTTCCTGAAAAACATGCTGTGAGGGCTTGCTTCTGAATAGGAGGGAGCAAGGCAGGCACGGCCACTCCTGAAGGGAACGTTACCTTCTGACACTCAGAGACCACCTCACATCATGAACTTGTTCTAGAAGCTATCTTAAAAGGCAAGAGGGTAAATGTTGGCTAATATTGTTGTTAAGATGAGAAACAAAGCAATTACTTTTACTTAAAATGCCAGCATTAAACATGACCCCCAAGGCACTTATTAGATAGTGCATATGCTCTTTGCACATGACACAGCAGGTGGTGGGGTACACATACAGCACAGTTGTCAGAAGCTTGGGGAGGAGCCTTGCAGAGGCCAAGTGAGTTTCCTAGTGTGCCCCCAAAAGGGCTCACAGGAAGAATGCAATTCAAAATAAGCTCTCACACTCTTCTGGTCTGTGAACATTTCCTGCCTCACTGGGGGGCACCTGGAGGACAGGTATTCAGGATATGGGCAGCTGGTAGATTCTCAAAAGCCCACCTGAGCCAGGGGCACTGAGAGGCTAGAGAGTAGGACAATGAGGAAATTCTGAGTGTAGTCACTTACGTGTGATTTGACCTCCACATCATACACGAGGCTGTCCCAAAGCCCGTGGAATTCAGCTGTCACGAGAAAATAAGACAAAGCTTTAATTTTAGGAAAACCCTGAGCCCAATGCTTTCTACTGCTCTAGTTGAAGATGAAGACTCTTACAGTAAGTACACAGTTTTCTTCAAAGTTTAACTTTCCTTAAAATTACAGATCCACAATAAATGCCAGTCATATATCTTTTCTTTTACAGATAAGTGAAAGAATTACTGGGCCTGGTGGCTCAGGCCCACAATCCCAGTGACTTGAGGGGGTAGGGGAGAAGGATCACAAGTTCAAGGCTTTCTAGAGCTAAGAGTGAGTACAAGGACTGCCTAGGTAACTTAGTGAGATGCTGTCTCAAAACAAAAAGTACAAAGAGGACCAGGGAGGGATGGAGTTCAAAGAAATAATAGAAAGAATTCTTTATGCTTTAGGGACTGGTGGTTTTACAAATGAGCTTTCCTTGTCCTTACCAGCTAGCTTTTACGATGCTGAAAGATTCTGTGCACACTACTGAAAAAGTCATCAACAGTCTTACCCAGCTGTGAACCTGTAAGGTACAATAACAACTGGCCCGGCAAGATATGCCCACTGGTGCAACAGTGGCATAAATGTTATGGGAGTGACCAGCTACTTACTGCTGGAATTTAAGGCCTGCTCCACAAGATCGAACTCATGCCTGGTACCATAACTAGGCCAAAAAGCTGTGGCTAGCTAGGTCACAGGCCCTTGGAGAGAACCTAGCACTATTATTCTGCTAAGTGGACATAGAAATAAACTGCCCCTAAATTCTTATCTTTATAGATTAATGTATCTTTAAACCCTCATCAGAGGCACTTCTTTTCGCAGTCAATGGCAATTAATACAGAGACCCATTACTAGTTAAGGTCTAGAGAAAAAGAGGGATGCTCGACTTTAAATGGGACATCTATGTCATACCCCCTCCTCCACAAAACTCAGGGGGCAGAAAGACTGTAAGAGCCATAGTTAGTGGATATCTGCAATGAAACAGTGTTTTCCAGACATGACAGTGCTGTACACACATGAACTCAGCGGTTGGGAATGCATGTACAAGGCCTGCACAAGATCAAGCCAGGCAAAATTCCAACATGCTTAGGGGAAGTCCCACCTCTGTCTGAGGAATTACTGGCAATTGGTAGCTGCTTTAGGGGATTGAGTCAGTTTTCTTCAGTGATGTGGGCACTGAGATACTACCCTATCCACACTCCAGTAGATGGTCTTACACTCATGATATAGGTAACTGGACTCACCCATAAGTAGACTCAGTGGGCTAAAAAAAAAAAAACAAAACACTAGGGGAGAAATTGGAGGGGAGAATGGGAGGTGAATCTAATCAAAACATGATATGCAACAGGATTCAGCATGTATGGCAAAGTACAGAGGACCTGGTGGGGGGATGGGGGGAAGCATGGATGAGGGAGGGTGTCTGGATATGAGTGGGAAATGTATGGAAGTTTAAAAGGTCAATAAAAAAGTGGAAAATAAAGTTTATAATTCAGAGGGAGAGGAAGATATGTATGTATAAAATTCTCAAACAATAAAACATGCAGAGAAAAGTTGTCATTGTTTTACTACTTTTAATTTTGTGGATTTGTTACTATCTCTGTTTTCTTTGCATTTACTGGTCTGAGGTTCTTCTTATTTCTAATGGCACTTGGCACTATAGATCTTGTTTCTATGACTACTGTATTCCCACAAATTTCTGTACACTGCTTTTGTTTTCATTTAGTGCTGTACAATTTTTCTTTTTTGGTCTTTTTGAGACAGGATCTTCCTGTGGCCTCAGCTGGCCTAGAACTTGCTACATAGAATGGGCTGGCCCAGCTGGCCTAGAACTCCCTATTAGAATAGATCCACCTGTCTCTGCCTCCCAAGTGCTGGGATTAAAGGTGTGTGCCACAACGCCTGGCCATGTGCTGTACAATTTTTACTGCCTCTTAAACTATGTATTATTAAAAGTGTGTTTTTAAACAAACAAGCAACAACAAAAACGAATGAGCTTTCCTACATGGCAAGAGGCATAAAACTTGTCTTCCTCAATCAGGTACAATTTCTGAAGAGCTTGTTTAAAGCAACAGTGGTCTAAAACCAAAAATGTGTTTCTTCTTTGCTATCAACCTGTTCTGGAGTAATCCCCAAAGGCTCATCATGTGCTACATGCTTGGTCCTTAGCGTGATGCTATTGGGAAGTGATGAACTTTAAAAGGTATGGTCCAGGGGAGATTTTTAAGTCATGCCCTTGAAGAGGATATTGGAACAAGGGTCTCTTACTTTCTCTCTTGCATCTGGTCATGAAGAAGCTTCCACTGCCACACACTCCCCACTAGGGGTGCTCTGTCTTGCTAAAAGCACAAAGGAGACAATCCTTCATGGACTAAAACCCCTCTCCTTTAGTAATGGAAAGCTAACACAGTGATATAATTTTCATCGCGTAAGGGATTACACATCCTAGAATCCCACAAAACTGATGAATAGACTCACTAAACTCACTAAACTGACTTGGCATGCACTGCCTCCCTCCACCACTACCCACACCCATCAGGACCATGTACCTGCAGGAAGAACCCAGTGATTTGCTGCAATTATATTTTCTGTCTCTTCTTCCAAATTTTCACTGCTGGGGCCATCTTCATTCAACTGGAAGATGTGAAGTACAACGGTGCGTACACTCAGATCAATGGGCTGTTGATGAGGGAAAAAGTTAAATATCTATGCAACTCAGAACACCTCTGTATGTTAGTTGTACATCAGATGCTGACATCTGTATGAAACGTTACAAACCAGTTCTCAGATTAGATAGGAAGACTATCATTTTGTATCAGTCTAGATTAGCTCTTTAGATGTTCATCCATCCCTCTCTGCGTTGGGCTCTTAGACATCATTATTTTATGTGTATGAGTGTTTCACCCTCCTGTAAGTTAAGCATACCATGCATGCATGCAATGCTTGTGGAGGCCAGAAAGTGCATCGGATTCCCCTGGAACTGGAGTTAAAAACATTGTCAGCCACCATGTGGGTGCTGGAAACTGAGCCTTTGCGAGAGCAGCCAGCGCTCCCACTGAGCCATCTCTCCAGCCCCATTATACCTGCTTTATGAAGTGATTTAGAAAGAAGAAAGTCCCATAAGTCCAAACGCAGAGATAATATAATCACTCACACAGGCCTGATCAGAAATGGATTTCCATGCAATGTCCTTTCACTTTCTTTTTCCAGTAGGTTATCCTGTGACGGACTTTTCAATTTGGAATGGTCAAATACATTTCTTCTCAAAATTAGACTAGGATTCTGAGTTTCAAAGTAACAGAAATGAAGTGCCTCCTCACCGTATCACATAAACACAGGACACACACAAAGAAGTGCTGTGTTCACTGAGAAATTACTGTATCTTCCCTTCCCCAGTTTATAAGGTCCACAGTGGAGGACTTAGGTGGGTAGGAATTAAATGTTATCTCTTGAAAGAGAAGCCACAGACATTTTATATAGACAAATATTTGTATCTTTCCATCGTTTACTTATCATTTACTCAGGACTTGCATATATTCCCCTTTATATTATCTTGTTATGATTCAATATTTTGTTGTTCCAGATTAGGCCTCTGGGACCTAGACTGGCTCTTGTTTTCATGCGACATGGCCTCATTTTTTTGTTTAAATCGGAACACCATGTAACTTTCTGGCACTACAACACAATTCAGTCTAATTTCATAATGTGCCTGCCTGACTCTGGATTTAACTATGTAGTCAAGAAACCGGAGTACCTGTTACCGCATAATTCCTAGGGCACATCAGTGGCAAGCTGTACCTTGACTTGCTACTTCTATCAACATAACAGAACAAGGAGGAAGCCAGGTATGGTGGCACATGCCTTTAATCAAAGCACTGAGGAGGCAGAGGAAGGCAGATCTGAGTTCCAGGCTAGCCAGGGCTACACAGTGAGACCGTGTTTTTTTGAAAAAAAAAAAAAGATAAAATGAGGGGGAGGGTCTGGAGCTGCCTATTCTTTCCTTCTCGCTAGTGAAAGCAGCCTGACAGGAGCTTGATCGCACACCTCACTTTTAGGTAATTAGACTATGCCAGTCTATGCCCTTTTGCTGGATAATGGCCATGGAGCTCTGAAGGACAACTGCATTTTTACCTTGTATCTTCAAAGCAGTGTGAGTCAATGCCTTACTTCATCACAGCATACCAATAACCACGAAAATAACATGAAGGAAAAAAGACAACCACCAAACTGAGTAGACGCCAACACTGAGATGAATAGGATGCTGTCTGAAGGCTACTACTATTTCATGTTATGTTTTATCTGCTGTTACAGAACTGTTATTACCATATAGTCTTCAAACTTGTTGTTTTTGTTATCATTAGCCAAATTTATTACTTAAATCCCTAAAGCCAGTTAATAATTCATGAGATTGACAAGTTTGTGTTTAAATGATTGTGCTTGCCTTCCCTCTGGCTGGATCCTAAGTTTACAGAAGTAACAATGCTTATGTTTGGGGTCTTCTCTGAGCTCCTTATAACACAGCAGATTGTGGTCATGATTCCTCCGAAGTGAGGAAAAGGAGATGGAACCTAAGTCCTAAGCACTTGGGCAGGTGGTTGACAGAGACATTTATTTTATTATGCAGTATTTGGTTTCCACTGAAGTGACTGAAGTGGCAATTAAGAGAACTTTTCTGTAAAAGTATACAGAAAGAGAACATGACCTGTGCAAAGATTGTAATATAATGTAATTATATCAATGCTTCCTTTAATGGATGTAAAAAAGTTCCAGTGAAGAATATGAGATATCTTAAGTAATTTTATTGGACAGACTGCTTCCTGGACCATGATTCAACTCCCAGACTAAGTGCTCGAAGACGTCAAGGCAGATTGGGAGAGGTCAGGGACCTGGGAACCACAATTTTCTAACTGAGCCTTCACATATTTACTAAAGATATTTTTATATTAGTAAATAGATATCTATTTCTTGTGTGTGTGTGTGTGTGTGTGTGTGTGTGTGTGTGTGTGTGTGTGTGTGTTTGAGAGGGT